GGTCCCTGAACATAGATATTGTTTTGCTGGCTCCCCACTACTGACCAAGTTCAGTACTTCCAATGTACTTCACAGCTTTTCCATTTATGGCGTTGCAGTCTATCCTGGTGCCCTTTCCCTCTCCCCTTACTCAGAATTAGATGCCCCTTGAAAACAGAGGTTGTGAGAGTTAATAGTCTGTAGAGCTGGAAATGACTTTAGAAATTATCTTTATCCACAGATCTTCATATAATTACATGTAGACACAGAGTGCTTTACCTAAATGGCTAGATAAATGAGGCAGAGAAGAGGCCCTTTCCAGTACTCAATCCTGTTTTCCCACCTAGACCTAGAGGAATTCTAAAATCAACCTGCAACGAGATTCTTAGAGCCACACAATCACTAAATTAACCAATTCTTCCTAAACATCACCTCCTAAATTGGCCCTTGGCTCTTCATTCCTGACACCAACATGTCAATTCATGTTCTTTTCACCCCATGCCTTTCCTACTCCTATATTCTTCCTAAAGCTTTCTGCTCTCTCCTGACTCCAGTGCACCCTCTCAGGAACACCAGATAAATCCTCCTAACAACACATATTTCTCCATGGCTTTTTTGTGTCCTTGAAAAATAAAGCCCAAACCTCTCAACAGAACATTTCAGGGACTCCACAACTTGATCTTACCTACCTTTGCATAACCATGAACCCAATGACCATTCAAACTAGTCTACCTTTTGTACTTCACTCCTGAGCACACCACACACAACTTCTCCTTTGTGTCTTTCTTCAAACTGTCGTCCTGGAAATGCACCTTAATTTAATGGGCATACTATCATTCCCTCAAGCCCATATACATCTTTCTCTTTCCCTATAAAGTCTTCTGTGGCTGGGCATGGTGGCTCATGCCTGGAATCCCAGCACTTTGGGAGGCCAAAGCAGGCAGATCACGAGGTCAGGAGTTTGAGACCAGCCTGACCAACATGGTGAAACCCTGTGTCTACTAAAAATACAAAAATTAGCCAGGCATGGTGGCATGTGCCTGTAATCCCAGCTACTCCGGAGGCTGAGGCAGGAGAATCGTTTGAACCCAGGAGGCAGAAGTAGTGGTGAGCCAAGATCCCGTCACTGCACTCCAGCCTGAGCGACAGAGCGAGACTCCATCTCAAAAAAAAAAAAGAAAAATTTATTTCTTGACTACCACAAGACAATACTTTCTCTCTTCACTGAATCACAAAAGTACTTCTTGGCTGTAGTATTCATTGGGTACTTTGAGTAAGTATTCTGTACCTGTATTTGATATATAATTTATGTATTTTAGCTCTTGAATTAAATTAAGCTCCTTGAAGGTAGGGATCTTATATTGCCAGTTTCCAGAGGTATTGCACAGAGCAGCGTTCAATGAGGAGCCAGCTTTAGATGCAACATCATAGGATTCAAAATCTTTGAATCCTCTGTTTCCAGATTATTGGGAATATTATTCTGCATATTCCAAAAATAATATTTTCCAATGTTTAGTGGCACTTTTATTGAGACGATATTTTTTGGGACATGATCTAAATGCAAAATGAAGTATTTGGCTTTATACAATAAAGTTCTGTCAAGAACTTTCTTAAAATGCAAATCATTTTTCACTTCTTTCTTATGTATTAGAAGAAATTTCTGTATGTCCAATGGGTTAAAGAGTGAGATTCTTATGTGAATAACATCTCTAAAGACTGTTTAACATTAAAAAGAAATTGAACCCTGTTCACCAAATGTTCTTTTGTACAATATTATTAACAATTGCATTTTATCTCTATATAATTATCGCTATAAATAATCAATCTACTTTTCATTTGCTTAAACTCAAATTTTTACTTTGAATATTTCCTTCCCCATTGAGAATGTGCTTATAACCATTGAGAGTGTAAATCCTATTGTAATTTTGAAATGTTTGCATCAGTAATTTTTAGAAATGTGAATTAGCTATCAAGAAAAAACATGAAGTAGGATGATTTGTTACGTATTTTATAAATGAAGTACAAATTTGTGACAATTTTGAGATAAAGGTCAGTCAGATACATCTAAATGAAAGTAATCTATTTACACTGTTATAGTGTATATATGTATATACACATAAATTAATATATATAAATTAATAAACTAACATGAATTAATAGAGCTAAGGAAAAGAACGGGAGACATGTATCCCTTCAATAACTATAGTAATAGTTTAGCACAATTTCAAAATAGTGAACCAAAAATTTTCACTCCTAAAGTTTGTTATATGAGTTAGCACATTATTATAATCAATACTTTGAGGCTTGCATAATGAGAACACAAGGTATATGTAATTACATTACTAACAGGAAAAAAATGTTGAATCATTTTTAACTCAGGGGCAGACAAATATCTACTTTTCTACTCAAAATGCATGACCAAGTAAATTGAGTTCATAAACATTTTTGAAAGGATAATAAAAAGTTTACCAGATGTATAATTTAGAACATAGAAGGGTCTTCCGTTTCCAGTGCAAGTGCCAAAAAAGACAAATGGGGAAAGCTGACTGTATTATACAAAACTATGTTCTTTCCATATAATTTGTAATAATTTCTGAATTTTTCTTAAAAGTAAATAGAATAATTTACTATATATATGTATATAACCTAAGTTATCTACTTTATGACTTTTTAGTAATGCTAGATTTTAAAATGTGGTTTGATTTTTCTCCTCAGCAATTATTACATCTAGCATCATTATATTTATTTAATTACTTTGTTCATTCTGTTTCCCCATTCCCACCACTAGAATATACCTCATCAGGGAAGGTAACTTAAGGTGACAGCTATGTCCCTGATGCTTAAAAAAATACAAGGAGCTTACAAAGTGTCTTAACCATATCTTTAACCTCATACCTTTATGAGTTTAAAATCATAAAGGAAAATTATCAAATATCAGGCTTTAAAAACATCTTTTATTATTAAGGAGTCTCATTCCACCATCTCCTTTTATAGATGTAGAAATTAAGATGTTGAAAGATTAAGTGATGTGTGAGGTCACAGAACTTTAGTACTAATGGGCACCTTAAACCTCATGTGGTCCAAATATTCAGGTGCTTAGGGCCACCCAGCCTATTGTTTAATGTCTGCAGTGATAAGGCTTTTGCTACTTTATAATAGAAAAATATTTATTTTTTTACTTTTTTCTCATATGTAATGAAGATTTCTATACCTGTACATCAATTCTTTAGTCCTAGTTAAAACCTTTGTTTATACATAGTATGTCTAGACCAGGGTATATCATGAGAAGAAGCGGGAGGCAAAGAGATATTGGGGGAAGAATGGAGTAGGAGGAGTTTAGGCCAGAACTTTCAGTCTTAAAGGGCCACAAATTTAGACTTCCACACTACATAAAACTATACATACATACATACACATACCCACATATACACATATATAAAATATATATACACAAATATATACATATGTATACTATATATACACATATACATATACTAAATATGTCATATACACACATTACATATGTATATATTAAACAGAAGAGTATGTATTTATATGTCGTGTCTCATAGAATTATCAGTTAAATAAAAACTGTTTAAATATGCCATAATCTTTTTCTAAAATGTGTAGAGATTCAGGAGGTATATGTGCCGGTTTGTTACATGGACGTATTATGTAATGGTGAAGTTTGGGCTTCTAGTGTACCCATCACCCAAATAGTGAACAGTGTATCCAGTATGTGACTTTTCAACTCTCCCTCTTTTGCAGTTTCCAGTGTCTGTTTCTCTCTGTATATCCATCTGTATCTATTATTGATCTCCAACTTATGTGTGAGCACATGTGGTATTTGATTTTCTGTTTCAGAGTTATTTCACTTAGGATAATGGACTCCAGCTCTATCCATGTTGCTGCAAAAGACATGATTTCATTCCTTTTGATGACTGCTTAGTATTCCATAGAGTACATATGCCACATTTTTTAATCCAATCATATGTTGATAGACACTCAGGTTGATTCTATGACTTCACCATTGTCACTAGTCCTGTGATAAACATATGAATGCAAGTATCTTTTTGATATAAAAAATTATTTTCCTTTGGGTAGATATCCAGAAATTAGCTTTCTGGGTTGAAAGGTGATTCTATTTTTAGTTGTTTGAGGAATCTCATACTGTTTTCCAAGTATATATAAAGGCTATACTAATTTACATTCCTACCAACAGTGTAGTGTATAAGCATTACTTTTTCTCCGCTTTCTCACCATCTGTTATTTTTTGACTTTTTAATAATAATCATTCTGACTGGTGTAAGATGGTTTCTCATTGTGGTTTTAATGACTTGGTTTTATGATGAGTGATGGGTACCATAATCTTTTAAACTTCATTTATCTTTAAACTTCATTTATCTTCTACTATATAAGGAACTTCAAAAACAAAGCCATACTGTACTCATAGTATTCTCTGAATCTGTATCTAATCTCCCTTCCATATAATTGTTAATATATTTTCAGAGAGCATTCCATGTGACTCTCCAACCAAACAAGCCTAATTCTTCAGTTGTTTCAATATCCGTCTAAATCCCACTTTCCCCTAAATATTAAACTTATTGAATGCCAACATAAAAATGTAGTTTCCAGAATTAAATACATTAATCTAGATGGGATCTTCATAGGAAAAAATAGCATGGACCTATTCCCTGATCTCGTCAAGAAAGTACATTTCTCTCAGTGCAACCTATAATTCTATTTGCTTTTTCATTGGCCATATCACATTTGACTCATATTGAAATTAATGTAAGACAATTCTTACTCATTTTCTCTGTGCTACTGCTAAGCCAAGTTTCTGTTATTTTATATTTCTGCAGTTTAATTTTTCTTTGCAGGGGGAAGTTCCTCAAATGAGTAACTGCTTTATAGTTTCTTTTTAAATACTGTTATGTTCATAGAAGATACATAATCTGAAAGTTAAACATAAACATTTAATTTAGGGCAAAAAAATATAATTTTTGAGACATGCATCCTACCTATAAAAACCTGGCGGCGCCTGCTTCACCAGAAAGCTTTTCTCCATGTCTTGGAGAATGTCATTCAGCATCCGGATGCGGTTGGATGCTCTCTCCTTGGGATCATTAGCAGGTCGCATCTCATCAGACTGAAAAAGTTCAGCACTCTCCCGCAGGCGTGACGCCATGGCTAACAGTTGATGAGTGTTGGGTTGATCACCTGGTGAAGATAAATGAGCCCATCTCAGAAGAGACATTCTCACGGGAGCAAATTAAGCATTTTCCCATCAGGACTCCAAGTTATAAACCAGACAGACCACTGAAGAAGGAAGAGGAAATTGTCGTTGACTCTTCTCTCTCTCTCTCCTTTTTTTTTTTTTTTTGTCACTTGACAAAAGCAAGGATATATGTATTTGAACTTTACCTGTCCAAGGAAAAAGATTCAGTATCAAGTAAACTTTGAGAATATATTTATTTTACCCAAAGCATTCTGTCTAAACTTGTTTTTATATTCTACTAAATTAAGTTTATAACTGCTCATAATTATAATAATGGTAAATATGTACAGTACTGATTGTTGAAGGATTGCTATATTCCAGGCACTATGTCTTTAATATTGACCAAAACTTGCTTGTCTCATTTCATAGAAGACGAGAACTAAGTAAGGTCAGAAAATTGTCATAGGTTATCAAGCAAGTAAATAACAGGACAGAATTAGAAGTTTGATCTTTCTGACTCAAAAATTTATGTTCACTAGAGAGTAAACTGTATTTCAGGGAAGAAAATAAAAATTGAATTGTGATCTTTTCTCTTGAGAACCTGAGATATGTTACTATATGTTGTCATGTGTATATTGGGTTCTTTTTTTTTTTTCATTAGAAATGTCCTGAAATGTGAGGTTGAAATATATCTTTGACCTAAGAATACACTAAAAACTATTTTATGTAGTGTTTGCATTGTTTTGTTTTACTTTGGAGGTTTGTGTTTGTTTTTGTTTCTTTTCCAGTTGTTAGCATAACTTACTAAAAGTCATTCTGAAAAGAATGATGGTAGCAAAGGCTCCACAGGATATACCTTTGACTAAGAGAAAGGCAACACTAGTATAGTTGTCCACTGAACTCTAGAGCCAGTCCACTTGAGTTTACATCTGCTCTACCACTTAGTATCTATGTGATATTGGTAAAGTTATTGAGCCTCAGTGTCCTCATCTATGAAACGAATATAATAATTGTACCTGCTTCATGTAGTAATGCAACAATAATGTAATAATAGTACCTGCTTCATAGATTTATTTATAGAGGATTAAATGATTAATACTTGTTCAGTATTTCCCTATGGGTAAGCACTTCTCAGCTGATGTGATTCAAGACTTTCTTTAAAAATTCTCTCACCATGTCATGAGAGGGGCATTCCCTCGCATCTTCTTCTAGGTATCTCACCATTAGAATCAGCCTTTAAGTGAGACAACAATTACTGGTATCATTCTCAGAGACTAGGTACAACTGACTTCAACAAGACTGGCACATCACTACAGAGGATCACTTCAAGTCAAGGTAATGAAGGAAGGTAGAGCTGGATAACCTAAATTGGCAGTTTGAAAGGATGACATTGAGACAGACAGATGGTGTGATGAATGGAGGCCTCCTGAGGCCTTCACTAGGAGAAGTCCTGGGCAAAAGGGAAACATCACAAAAGGACTCTCTTAAGTAAAGTCCAAGGGTTACCAGTTCCCATTAGACTTGGTCCTTATGAAAATGCAGATTCCCAGAACTATTGATTCTTTCTAGGGGCGGAGCCAAGAATCTTGATTTCAATATGCTACTCAGATTATTCTATACATATTTAAGAAAAATTACAGAGAGGTGATATGCTAAGAAAAGGAAAACTAGGTTATATGTATAGCTGATACATTAAATATGTTTGTCATAGAACTACCAACTTCTAAAATAATGATAATTTTTTATTCTCACCTTCCTTCCTTTGATGGAGACTGTTTTACAATTCAATGTCTTTAGTGCCCAGCATGGTGTTGAAATTCAATAATTGTTTACCAAATAAGCAAAGTAGGTTCAATAAAGTATGTTTAGAAAAAAAATCTGATAACAAATAAAAGCATGTAAAGAGATAAGTAGTTTCATAAGGGCTACAAAGAGATTCACAGGTAGGATTACATGAAATGTTCTTAGAGAACATAGTCATTTTTGCTAATTTTCAATATTCCACAATCTAGTTGAAAATTGTGGTAGAAGGAGAAATAATGCTTGAGGCTAATATGTAGCTCCCTGTTCACTGAAATTAACAATAAGAATAAAATCAATTGTAGGAGTTCACAAGGTTTTGGCATTTGATGTTTCCAAAGTGCATTTCACATTCATTAATTATCTCATTTGATTTCACAACAAAATGAGGTTGCAAGAATGGGTATTTTAGGTCATCTAGAAAATCTAGCCCCTGAATAACTTACTCAATGCCATTTTATGAAAATAGTTTGTCCTAAATTTTGATGGTTCAGCAAAGTTAATGCATAGATAACTTCCAGGGAATATCTCTGCACAAGGAAAGAATAAGATGGATACAGCACATTTAGATTACGCTAGAAAGACTGAACAACAGAAAAAACAAGTTCGACATCCTTGAGAGTCTTCCATTTAAGAAAGAAAAATCTGTTCTGATCTAACGTACATTACAGAATTGAACACATTACTACTGAATCAAGTGAGACAAATTGTACCATTCTACCTTACTTACCTTTAAATGAATTTACCTTTCATGGTAGTACAGACGTAGAGAACTGACAGCTTTAGGAACTGACTGGCTACAGAAAGGACCCTGATAGTGGAAACTAGCCACTCACAACATACCGTATGCATTACTTCAAGGGTATGAGGTTACAAATTGAAAAGTAGCTCTATCTTCAATGTTCACTCAATCATTTTGATATATAAATGATGCTCCAAAGATTTCTAGTAGCCATTTCTCTGCCAATTAGAGCTTGCTTGTTCTTTTAAATCAGACCAGAAAGAAATGTTACCTTTCCTATTTAAGTTTTTGTGACCCCAAATGATTGGTCTTTTATGCTCCTTAGGATCCCTACTAGAATATTGGTTCTGTTAAGGAAAAGGTTTGTGTCTTTTATTCACTGCCATTTCCCTAGCACCTAAAAGTGCCAGTTGTACCATTTAATCAATGAATAATTAACTTACATACTTTTATCATAGCAGCTGCAATATTTTGATCCTTATCTGCCCTCTCTACTCTTTCTGACTGGAAAGAACCCTATATAATCAGAAAATACATTTTATTTCTCTTTGTATCCCTAGATTGTAGCACAATATCTGTTTTATGGTAGTCATTTATTAATATATTTGTTGAGTGAATGTTGAATTATGAGATGTCTTTATTTGAATGTATTATATTAAACAATGTCTACAAAATCATTCAAGGAGATGTTTGTTGCATAATAAGCATCAACAAATGCTATTTCCTTTATTTTCTTACTAAAAATCCATTATAATTGCAAAATAAAAGAAAAATATTTAAAAGAAAAGAGGCTAGTGTGATGATAAGTTAAATTAAACTAAATTGAAATAAAATATGCCCTACAAAAACTCCATAAAAACTGCGATTATATAAAACTTTACTTAAGGCATGGTGAATTTCAGAGAAAAGAGGATAAACTGAGGCTCTTCACAGTTCAGGTTTAAAAAATAATAAGTACATTTGAACAAAGAAAATTAATGGAAAACTAGATATTTCTCTCAGAGAGGATTAATACAATTATTTTTAAAATTATATACATGGAGTTTACAGACCAAGGACTTGATATTCAAAAGATAGATTACAGTCTGGTTTACTTAATTGCTATCAGTGTGGTCATGAATAAATTATTTACCACTACTGTCCTTCAGGTTCCTTGGAGAAAATAATTATGTAAGTTTCTAAGTGTATAAATCACTATTTACACAAGTTTGTGTTATTAGAGAACACAAACTAAACACAAGTTACTACAAACCCATTTTTTTAAGGCATGGAAAAAGTACTGTAACAACTTTACTGATTTTTTTTTCTTCAGAAATGTTACTCTTTATCACTTCTTCAACCTGTGCCCCCCCAACCCAATGTATCATATTCTATTTTACTCCTTATATAGACTTTAATAAGGATTTCTACTTTTATTTTTCTGTGTTTATAAATTGAGTGCCATTTTTCCCCATGGGCTGCTATCTCAAACTTCTGAAGAACAAGGAAAGAAATAACAGAAAGGATAAAGGAATTAAACAGTGAACTTTAAAAAGTGATTCTTTTAGATCATTGCTCCTGGTGAAAAGTGAACCATTAATAAATTTTTATAGTACGGTAGAACATGCTGATTTATTGCAAATATTAAAAATCAAGCTTAATATAATACAATGTAGTTGACTGTCTACTGAAACTATCTTGATATTATTTGTGACAACTGAAATGAACTTACAAATTTCAAACAAAAACAATTTGCATTTGTTCTGTTTCCCCTCATCTCAAAGTAAAATACCTGTGTTCAGTAGGTATTTACTGAGTCCTATTTTGTATGTTATTCTGAAAGTATTGAGAAGGAAGGAAAGATATGTAAGATTAAATTTTTAACCTTAATAAATTCCTGATCTAGGATACAAATGTACATATACATCTAATTATACAATAAGTGTCATATGAAATAAATACACATGAGGATGACTGAAGAGCTCGTTGTGTATAAGAATGATCTGACAAGTGTCCAGGGAAGAAGTAAACCTTGAGAGATAGATCATGAAACTGCCTGAAAATCCAGGACATCTTAAATGAACTCTTGAAAATTATGGAATATTATCTACAATTAAAGCAGCTGAGTGAGAGTGTTCCATTTTTAAAAAATATTAATGTCTTTCCATCCTCATCCCTTAGTCCTCACTATTCTAGAGGATGAATCTACCTCTAACCCAAATCCTCCCATTTTTCTGGCTTGTTATGGAAAGAATGGAGCTGGATATTGTAAGAGGTATTAATATTAATTAAAGAGGAAGAAAGAAGGAAGGAGGGAGAGAGGGAGGCAGGGAGAGAAGAAGAGAGAGATAAATGTTAGTCAATAGATATCAAAATAGATATTGAGATCTAGGCCAGTCAATTCAGGAAAGACTCTAAGATGTTCTGGGGAAAACAAATGCCTTCTACTCAGGGAATCTTTTGCCTTCTAGCCAACCATCA